TACATCAATGGAAAGCTTATTTATTCAGCTTTCAGATTATGTATAAATCTCAATTTCGAAAAATTGACCCTTATGACTGGTTTTGTGCTCTAGGGTCTCATATTACAAATGCACTGCTGCCTTACAAACACTGAAATAAATGAAAGGAAGCTAAAGAGACAATGAAAAGTGAGTGTATGAATCAGGTTTGTTCACAGAGGCCCAGCGCTCATGACCCGGCCAAAGAAACACATTTAGAGCACTTACAAACGTCTAAAGACACGTATGCTAGTTTTAAGCTGGCACCCTCCTCTCTTATAAAACTCAAGATCGGTTTTTCATTTCTTGAATGCTTAGTCATTGCTCTCTATGTCTGCTAAAAGTTTTTATATCAAATGGTTGGGTAAGGATATGTTTTCATGAGCCTATGAGAGCGTATGCAGGGTTTGCGTAATGCATGGCGTAAGCGTGTGCTGGTGTTCAGTCAAACATTAATGCAGTCAGTGCAGATCTCAGAGGCTCTGGCTCAGATCTCCTTCATGTGCCTGCTGTTGTTTTTGGCTCCTATTAGCTTCTATTAACATGTGTGCGCACCCATAAGAAAAGCCATTGCATTCATCTGACCCTAAATCATAAAAAAGGGTTATTTTTTTGTTGTATTTATCAAGGATGCATTAAATTGTTTAAAAGTGTCAGTAAGACATTTATAATGTTACAAAAGATTTCTATTTCAAACAAATGTTTTTCTTTTTAACTTTCTAAAAAATAAAAAAAAATAAACTTTTCATTTCACAATTCAGAATTTTCCTGTCAATCCTGACTTTATCATTCTCAACCGTGAGAAAAAAGAATTGAGATCGTAAGACATAAACAAATAGTTGCAGGTAATAAATGCTGAAATTATAAGATATAATTGAATTGCCAGAAGTAAAAGCAGAATTATTAATATGCACAATTGCGAGTTATAAACAATAGCGAGATATAAACGCTACATTTCAGGATATAAACAATTGCAAGATATAAACACTGAATTGCGAAATACAAACGAAGAATTACGAGATATAAACAAAGAATTGCAACAAATAAATGCAGAATTGAGAGATAGACAACTGTGTTATATAAATTCTGAATTTCTATATCATAGTTCTAACATTTTCCTCAGAATTGTGAGAAAAAAAGTTACAATTAACGGTTTTATTCATTCGTTTTTTTATTTTTTTTTATTGTGTGTCAGAAACAAGCTTCCATAAAAAAAACAAAAACACTTATGTTTAATCGTAATAAGATTTCAAAATATTACTGTATTTTTGATCAAATAAATGCAGCCTCGGTGAGCAGACGAGACTAAAAAACTTTACAAACCCCAAACCTCTGAACATATATAAAAACGTATTAGTGAATACAGAAATGTAGAGTGAACACAAACCTTAAAACTACCAATGCATGAAAAAAGCCAAATATATTTAACTTACAGATTCTCTTTATTTAAAAGTGAAGGGTGTAGTTTCTGTCACCAAATGTAATTGTTTGGACAGCATAAGCTCAAGCATTTGTCAGAGTATTTAAAGAAACGCTAGCAAATCAAGAGCCCCTTCTACAGTATCATGATTTGATGCTGGCAAAGACACAAGAAAGAGCAGCGCCCGTCCTGTTTGAGAGCTCTTCTGTCATGTCTGGCTCCTTCACTCTTCATAATAAGTTTATCTCCATCTTGAAGGCAGATGTTGTGGCTTTTACGCTTGGAGAAAGTGGCTCTGGGGTTCAGTGTTAGTGTTAGTGTTGGGGTAACGTGATCCAGGCATCCAGCTCAGCAGCTTAAGCAATCGCACGTAACTTGACTTACAAATCTTACAGATACAAATCAAACTAGCCTATCCTCACACAAACGTTCAACCATACATTCACTTTTACTGGTTTCACATTTTAGTGGCTTAAGTGGCTCTTGGATTTTGTGAGCAAAGAACATTTTAGTCCTCAATCTGAAACTAATGATGATGTGTTAATGACAATGACAACTCTAGTTGTAACTAGAGTTATTATAGTTAACTGAAAGTAAACCATTAACTCTTTCCCCGCCAGCGTTTTTGACAAAAAAAAGTTGCCAGCCACCGCCAACGTTTTTGCTGATTTTCACTAAAATTTCATGGCCCCCAGAATATTTTGTTGTATTAATATCTGAACATGCAATACATCAAAATAAGTATCAGACCTTCTATTTAAAAAAAAAAAATAATAATTCTAGCTTCAAGCATTGTTTTTATGAACACTTGAATGTAGGTAGGTTTCATAAAAAAAGCAACATTTTGAGCAAAAAGCTGAGAAAATCGAATTTTTATCAAATACTACATCTGGATCATATTCAGTACTATTATCAAAGCAAGGATGCAGTAGATGGCTTCCATCAGCGCTCCCAAAGCTTGCACAGGCCTTTACCTATTCCTGGATCCACATTTCACTCGCTAACATTAGGCAGTTTTCATTTATATGCTGTTAAGAGTTGATGATCACATTATTTTTCATATGCATATGCTTACATATGAGATCGCTTGTTTCTGCGT